TCAAATAGTTAAACAAATTGAATTCACAACTTATGAAACGTAATTAAAAGTAATCAAATCATATTGCAAGCATAAACATATATTTCGAATCACCCCCCTAGCTAGGGGGGGTTTAGTTCCTCATACAAAACAAAGAGAATTAAAATTAAACATTGAAATCAAAGAAACACCTAAACATTCCAACAACTCAAACTTGAATTGTATGAACGTTTAGGCCCTCTTCTCTTCCTCTTCGTTGTAGCACAAGGTCTAAAGATAGTTGGTTTGGGGGGATGGAAGTGTGGAATGGAGTGGGGAATTATGGAAATAGGTGAGGAGTGGTGGAGAAAATGGTGTAGAAAATGGAGAGAAACTCACGGCTAGAGAAGGAATGGAGTGTTTGTGTTGTGGTATCTATAATGGAATGAGATGATTTGAATGATGGGAATGCAAGGGTATTTATAGGAGGAGTGGAGATGTATATGGCTATTTGTTTAAGGTGTTTGTGTGGAGGAATGATGGAGAATTGCATGTGGAATGGCTGCAATGATGAAGAATGAAAGCTGGAAAATAAAAGGGAAAGCTGGAAATCTGAAAATGCAAATGGGAATCCTGAAATGCAAAGGTGGCCACGGTTTTGAGTGTGTTTTGTGTTGGAAATGCATGTGAATGCATGTGAATGTTGTTTGTGTGAAGTGTGTGTGGGTTAAAGAGTGAATGGTGGTGTAATGATGAAGTGTGATGGCTGAAAATGTCAAGGGAAATGCATGTGATTGCATGGCAAAGAATTTCAGGATGCATGTGTGTTGGTGTGTTGTGTGATTGTTTTGTGGTTTAAGTGGCTTAATTAAAGAATGGGAGTGCATGTGGCTTAGGTGGTGTAATGATGAAGTGGGAATTGAAAGAATGTGGTTGGAAAGTGGAAGGGAAGGCACAACACAAAGGGGGAAGTGTTGGAAATGCATGTGATGCATGCCAATGTTGTCTTTTGGTGCATGTGTGTGTTGAATGGTGTCCTTTAATTATGCACGGTTTAGGGCTGTTAAGGGGAGAGAAATGGGAGTGAATGTGGCTTAATGATGAAAGGGGGAAAGCTTGGAAAGCATGTGGCAAGGTTGGTTGCATGATGATGATGCATGTGAGTTGAAATGCATATGTTTAAATGGTTGAAATGTGTAGATGATTATGAGTATGATAAGTGATAAGTGAATGATGTATTAAGTGATAAATGAATGATATGTTAAGTGATAAATGAATGATATGTGGTGAGTGATAAGTGAATGGAAGTGATAAGTGATAAGTTTGATAAGTGAATGATATGATAAGTGAATGCTTATAATAAGTGAATGATATGATAAGTGAATGATTTAAGTGTTTAAAATAGGGAAAAAAGCCCTTCCTTGCATGGCAAGGAAGGGAGACACAAGGAAACACACGACAATGTCCTAAGGCTGCAAGGAATGTTGTTTTTGTGTTCTAAAATGCGCAGGAGTCTTCAATGATGCTTAAACATGAGGTCTTTTAGGATTTAACTTTCCTACTTCAAGTCTTTAATTTCGTCCATCCTCTTGGCTCCAAGCATATGATATCCATTCCAATCTCTAATTTGCTCCAAAAGGCTCCAAAAGGCATCCTTTTGCATACCTTGCCCTTAGAACCTGAAAACACACAAAAGAAGCATAAAGGACTAAAATAACTAGAGAAACATAACGTAAATGCACGAGAACAAGCCATTTAAGTCGCATGAATATGCTCTTATCATGGAGCCACTTGAACAAGGTGTCGAATTTAATGATTTTGGGGAAGAAGAAGAGCATCAACATTGTTCACCAATTAGCAATCAGGTGGAGTAAGGAAAAAGGCAGATTGAAGGCACTCGAATTTGTCAAACATATTAAGGGGTTCGAACTTCAACGCATAATTTACATGTATTTTAGAGATGCATAGCATAAGACAAACCCATTTGAAACAAGAAGAAACCTGACATGTTTGGGTTTGACTAAGGTGAATTTAACTATGCTCTTAACATTAGTCAAGGAGATCCAACTACTTATTAAGAAGACATAGCAAGTGATGAACGAGATAGTTGGATAAATGTTATGACAGAAGAAATGGAGTCTCTTTGCAAGAACTCTATTTGGGAGTTGGTTCCTAACCCAAAAATAAAAAGCTAGTTGGATGCAAGTAGGTGTTTAGGAAAAAAGAACTACATGACCAGGAAGCCGTGATATTCAAAACAAGGCTCATGGGTAAGGGGTACTTACAGAAGAAAATGGTGGATTATGATGAGATATTTTCACCTGCAGTCAGGCATACTTCTATCAGATTGCTTTTAGCAATGGCAGCACATTATGACATGGAGATTGAGCAGATGGATGTGAAGACTACATTTCTCTATGGTGATCTAGATGAGACAATTTTCATGGCTCAACCAAAAGGGCTTGTCGATATGGGAAAGAAAACCTAGTATGTCGACTTAGGAAGTCCTTTTATGGTCTGAAACAGTCTCCATGGTAGTGGTAACAAGATCTTTGATTTCTTTATGTTGAAATTCAATTTTAAGAGATGCTTATATGACCGTTGTGTGTACTATCATGCATTCCAAAATGGGATGATTACATTATTGCCGCTATTTGTGGACGACATGCTAATTGTTTGTCAAGACAAGTCAAGAATTCAAGACTTAAAGAAGATGTTGAGTGCAGAGTTCGACATGAAGGATCTAGGTGCTGCATTAGGGGTGGGTTCGGTTTCATTTGGTTTACTTTTTTTGCCAAAACCAAAACCTAACCAAAACTTCAATTCGGTTTTTTTCAGTTTGATTTTTTTTTTTCAATTCGATTTTGTTCGGTTTGGTTTTGGTTTGGTTTCGTTTTTTATTTTATTTTATAAAACTTGATCTTTTTTTTAATATGGAATTTAGAAAAGAGGCTTACATTGTTAGACTAATAATAAGAAAATAGAGAAAGTGAGAAGGTAGTTGTACATTTACAAGATCATATAAATCATATTCTATCAGCAATCTCAATTGCAAAGAAAAATGATTATCGTATCCATTCCAAAAGAAAACAAATAGAGAAACTCTTCCAAATTCCAAAGCCTTCCAAAACTTTTTTCTATAACCAATTGAATATCCTTCCTAATTGAACCAAGTATGCTCCTTGAAAATGTCCTAGGCTTAGTTTCAAACTTGGTAACAAAGTTTCACAAAAGAAACATCATGGGCATACATTCATTAAGTGTAAGGGGTTCAGTTTGGTTCAGTTCGGTTTTTCCTATTTCGCTTTGGGTTTTTTTCAGTTTTTCGGTTTTGGTTCAGTGTTTTGTCCTTTTTTTTTTGTTTTTGGTTTTTTTACCCACCCATAAGTTGTATAGAAGATCTTAGACATGGAAATTCAGAGAGTTAAGATCGGTGGTAGAATCTGGATATCACAAGACAAGTATATTCATAAGGTTCTTAAGAAGTTCAACATGCTAGAAGCAACGGAAGTTTCAACTCCATTGGCAGCTCACTTCAGATTAAGTGGCAACAGTGTTCTAAGTCAGAAAAAAGAGAAACAAGCAATGGAAAAGGTGCATTATGCTAATGTCGTAGGCTGCTTATTGTATGCATAGTATGCACATGACCCAACGTAGCTCAAGAAATCAACGTCGTTTTCAAGTGCATTGCAAATCCAAGAAAGCAATATTGGGATGCAGGGTGCTGGAATATGTTGATGTCAACTATGCAAGGGACTTAGACAAGAGAATATCAACTTCTGGTGATGTCTTTACATGTGCAAGAGGACCAATCAGTTGGAGGGCATTACTGCAAGAAATTACAACGTTGTTGACAACAGAAACATAGTATATTGCTTTGGTCGAAGCTCGAAAGGAAATGTGATAGTAAATGTGTGAAAATGCATGTTTTTTCATGGAAGATGAAAGCACATTGAAGTGAGATATCACAGAATCCATGATTGGGTGGAGTCCAAGGAGATTTGTGTTGAAAAGATTCACATGAAGATAGTGTCGGCCAAGAAGTTCAAGCATTGCTTTTACTTGATCAATCTTGTTGATTGATTAAGGTGGAGCATCGCCACACTTGAGGTGCAATGAGGTGACAAGAAGTTTGCTAAGGTAAAGATTCTTGAAGATTTCCAGAGCTGCTTCAAGAAGGTGAAGATACTCTAGGGAGCAACAGTCAAAACTTGGTTTAACTCACCAAGGTGGAGATTGTTAGGAATTGGCTTGTCAAAGTTAGTTTCCTATTTTGTTTATGATTGTATTAGGGAAATTAAAGGTGCATTGAGTCTTCTCCTAAAAAGACTAGGAAAGAATCAAAGTTTCATTATTAGGCATTCGAGAAGCCTAATTGAAATAGGAAAGTACGCTTACTTTCCTATTCCATATAAAATAGGAAATAAAGTACTTTCCCATTTCCATATAGAATAGGAAACTTAATTAGAGAATAGGCATATAAACCACACCTTATTTTAATAAATAGAGTGCAGCAAGGCTAGAAACAGTGATGGATCCAGGATTTTGAACTCGGAGGATCCCATTAATAAAGGTCAAAAAATTTATAGACAAAAATAACATTGAAAAGTTAAATATAATACATTTCATTCAAAAATCATACGCAAAACAATATTACAAGCTATAAAATCATAATTCAAGCGTCCACGACCAGGTTTCATGGTCTGAAAATGTTCCATGACAGCTTCATTACCAATACATGAAAAAACATCTTTCTCAATGTAAACAACTAAATTATCACTCAATTATTGATCCCTCATTTTGTTGTGAAGTTGACCCTTAATGATATTCATAGTAGAAAATACCATCTCCATTGAAGCGGTTGCAATCGGTAAAACCATAGCGAACTACACAAGCAAATATACATATACAAATGTTTGATGCAACCCTTTCTCCACCATTTTCTTAGCGAGATCATTAATCTCTTGCAATCGAGAAAAAACATTATCAAAACACACAAAATGAATATAAATATCAAGTTGATCTTGAAGTGCTAAGCTATCTCAATCCATGAAATCTTTAGGATACAACTGAGCAAGGCAAACAAGCTTTTCTTTATCAAAAGCTACAAATGAATCATTCGGACTCAAACATGCCAAGCAAATAAGCAATTCGGTGTTACCTTCAGCGAAGCGATCATCTAATTCTGTAAGTTGGAAATCAATGACCTCAAAAAAGAGTTCCACTTTGTAATGATGACGATTGGTCTTTCATGGAGCCTTATGCAATGACTTCACTTGAATGACATATGAATCATCCATATTAGGTACCTCAATTTCATGTTCGACATAAAAAGATGATATTTTATTCACCAAAAGATCAAAATTTTCATTATTCCTCATGCAACGTAGTTGTTCTTTACATGTCTTAACTAAAGCCATTGCATTCACAATCTCTTGATCTTTCTTTTGTAATGCATGTGACAAATCATGAGTCACTCCCAATATGGATTTCATCAAAAAAGAAGAAGAACACAAACTCAAAAGATTGTATAACTTTTAGTAACCTTTTACTTCACTAACATTATCATTGTAGCAATCTTCAACAATCATGCCAAGCACATCCACCGTAGATGAGAACATTGTAATCAAACTAATCAAAACACCATAATGTGAATTTCATTGTGTATCCCCAGCACGTTTGAGACTAGTTTCTTGATTCAATCGTTGCCCCGTTTCAAGACACTCATTTTCAATAGCTTTCACGAGATTTTCTTGTTGTTTCTCTCTAAGTGCATCACGACGCTTACATGAGCATCTAACAACATTCACCAAACTATTAGTCAACGTGAAAAAAGTGGCAACATCGGAGTTTTTCTTTGCTACGACAACGAGAGCTAATTGTAGTTGATGAGCAAAACAATGAACATAGAATGCACAACTTTCTTCATCCAAATTTTTTTTTAAAGGCCATTGAATTCACCTCTCATATTACTCATGTCATCATAACCTTGGCCTCGTAGGTTGGAGTAGCTCAAATCATGCAGTTTCAAAAACTCATCCATTGGCTCCTTTATTTTACTTGAAGTTGTTTCGTAACATGTTGGACTCCCACGAACATTTCAATTACTTGACCTTTGTTGTCCACATAACGCAAAACCACGGTCATTTGCTCATTTGTTGAGACATCATGTGATTCATCTACCGTTATAGAAAGAATTTACTCTCTTTCACTTCCTTCATAATAGCCTTAATTTTCAAAGGCACATGAATTGACAAAATCTTTTTTAATTGAAGGAGCGATTAGCTTGAGATTTCTTGGAGCATTTTCCAAAACAACTTCCTTTATTTTCTCATCATGATCCGCAAGCAATTGCAAGAGCTCTAAATAATTCCCCCTATTATTTGAAGTGTCACTTTCATCATGGCCACGAAAAGGAAGACCTTGTTGCAACTAGAACTTAGTGCAATCTATTGATGCATTCAAGCAACAACGATATTTCATACTCTTCTTCTGATTGTTTGATCATAACTGGTTCAAGATGTGTCTTTTGGTTCGTTAGATAACTAGCCACTTTTCTAACTTTATTGTGGACACTACCAATAGGACCAACATGTTTGTCAAAACATTCTCTTGCATTCTTCCATTTCTTAAAGCCTACTCCAATGAAGGCATCACTTCCTAATTGTGAAAAGTTAATTTTAAAGAGATAGCAATGAAGATAAAATACTGTATCTTTAGATATACTATACTCCAACCAATCATATTCTTCAAACCACAAAACAACAAATCGTCGCTTTTTCTTTGCATGCAAGGTGTATGAGAACTCATGCTTTGTAGGCCTATAAGGTTCCATTTGCAAATATGCTCTTCGGATCTCATCTTAAATATTAGGAGGATAGTCCTTCATTCGAATTCTTTTTCCTGAGTCTCTCTCAAGATTATTAAAATCAATGTCACACTTATTTTGTCTTGATTTCAAACTACCCAAACAAATAAATGGTCCTATTGGCTTTGGCTTGAAAAATCTTTCCATATTTCTTATCTCTAAACTACACATTTAACAAAAAACACAAAACATATACCAAATAACCAATAAACAAAAATTCCATTTAAATTATAATGATCAAATGAGTATAAACATAAAACCTATCAACAATCATATCAATAATAGACTAAAAATCTTCATCAATATCTAATATAATTTAATTGAGATTAGATTAGAATACCAAAAAACTTACTTGAATTGTTAACCAGTATTGGAGTAATAAAATTATGATATGGGATTGGGTGGGATTTAGAATTTTGGGGTTTTGAAATCTAGGGAGTTGGGGATTGGAATTTGGGTGAATATGTTAAAGCTGGGCACTAGGGGAAGCAGAAGAGTGGGGAAGGGTGAGACAATGGGGAAAGATGTGGGGTTGGGGCTAGGATTTAAAACAATGGACAAACGACGGCGTTTTGTCCATTGTTTTTTTAAAAAATTTAATTAAAACAATTGGCCAAAACACTGTCGTTTTGGGCCAATTGTTAAAAGAGGATTTTCTTTCTTCTCAGTGCACAGTCATTTTCTCTGAGAAGAAGATATTGTTGCAACCTACAACCTTCAACTTGCACTGCACAGACCTTGTGTTTGAGTACGAGGGGTCCCCGGAAAATTTCTAGCAGCAATTTAGGGTCACCGAGGGGTCCTGGGACCTCCCAGGTCTCTCTGTATCCACTACTGGCTACAAATATGTGAGAACAGCTAGATACAGCTGAGAGGGACAAAGAGGGGATAGTTTAGGGTTTTGCAAAAGTAATGTAACTCTATTATTATCAAAGAAGGCATGGTTTCTCTATCCAGAGAAATCACAACTAGACGCATGCAAAACTTATGCCAAACCAGTATAAATCTTATTTGTTTTTAGTTATTCTCTAATTTGTTAAGTCTAGTCTATTGACGGTTACATTAAAGAGCAAGGTCTAGAGGAGAGTCAAAATTATAGCAGAGCCTTGGGTAACCCTATGATTATGGGAAAGCTTTTAGTTTGTCCTTAATGAGTTCTTATTATAGTCATTGCTTCATCATACATATCCTTTATTGTTTCGATATATGTTACTTGTACTCCTTTCTTCTCTAGAATCCTCTAAAGAATTTCTCTTGGGATCCTATCATACACTCTTTTTTTTCAAGTCTATAAAGATCATGCGCAAATCCTTTTGCATATCTCTATATCGTTTCATTGATCTCCGTAAGAGATAAATTGCCTCCATAGTCAAGCACCCTGACATGAACCCGAATTGATCATCTAAGATTAGTCTCTCTTATCTTAATCTATGCTCAATTACTTTCTCCCAAAGCTTCATTATATGACTCATTAACTAGTTTATGCAATTTTGTATGTCACCCTTATTCTTGAAGATAGACACCAAAGTACTTTTTATGCCACTCATTTGACATCTTCTTTTTTTTTTTCAAAATTGAAAAGGTTTGTAGACATGCTATACCCGTCTCTCCCAAGGCCTTTTACACTTTGATCAGTATATCGTCGAGACCCACTATTTTTCTATGCTTCATGTTTTTCAAAGTTACAACCACTTCCTCTTTTCTGGTTTGGCATTAGAAGGAGTAATTTTTACGCTCTTCCAAGTTACTCAACTCATCTAAAGAAGTACTAATTTTGTGTCCTTCGTTAAAAAAATTATGAAATAAGCTCTCCATCTGTCTTGAACTGCATTCTTTGTCTCTAGAATATTTCCATTGTCATCCTTGATGCACCTTACTTGGTTCAGGTCTCTTGTCTTCATTTCCTTTGCTCTAACCAGTTTATAGATGTCGAACTCTCCTTCTTTGGTATCTAATCGCTTATACATATCGTCAAAAGCCAAGAAAGAGCCACTAGCTTCGCTTCTTTCATGGCTTTCTTCGCCTCCTTTTTCTCTATTTTATACTTCTCATAGTTTTCATTGGTACTATCCTTGTATAGAACTTTACAACACTCCTTCTTGGCCTTAACATTTTTTTGTGCCTCCTTCTTCCACCACAAAGATTCCTTTTCATGTGGAGCAAATCCCTTAGATTCTCCTAATACCTCTTTTGCAACTTTTCAAATATAGCTAGAAGAAGGTTAAAACAAAACAAAGAAAAAGTTCAAAAAAAGGAAGATTGCTAATACTCTAGGTAAATTGTTCAACTACTTTGATATTTATAACTTCGTCTAAGTTCGGTTGTGCATAATTTCACTTCATCTTCCTTGTATCATTTTTCTTGCTAACTGTCCAAATCAGTGGGGCATTTTTGTGTCAAAATTATAGCTTTGAGATAAGATATCATTGTACCATTCCATTCAACTTTGCCTGAGCTTAAAAGGCAAAACCCATCAAGTTATAAAAAAAGAGTGGTTGAGCAGCTTCTCTAACAATAACAACCATGACCCGCAACCACATTGACATTACCTGCTTTTGTCCACGTTCTTTCATTTCATTCTCTTATAATTTAATCAATTTAAAAATAAAAATTAATAAAAATGTGTCTGAAGAAAAAAAAAGTGTGTGAATATCACTGCTGTTCAGAATCGATGAGTCTATTGATTGCACCATGTATATTAAAAATATATCTACAAGCAAAGTTCTAAAAGGCACTAGAAACTAGTCGGACGGCGTGTAGGGACCTAGCGCCTAGGCGTCTAGGGAGGGGCCTAATCGGATTTTATAATTTTAATTAAATTTATTATATCATATATATAAATGTTTACTTATATTTTAAAAAAAAATACATAGTTGTAGGATACATAAATTGCAAGATAGAACGACATAGATTATAAAGTATTATAATATATTGGAAACATGAAGAACAAGTATATAATGAGTGTTCATCCAAGTATCCAACAAGTATTTTACAATTTATTGAAAAATATAATGTAAAATGAAAGTTATCTATTTTTTGTTTAAGTGAGTGTCGCAACCTAGGCGGGTGGGCGGGTCTAGACGGGCGGGTGGACGAGTCTAGCAGTTGGGTGGGCGCCTGGGTAAGTCTCTACACCATTTCTTAACTTTTAAACACCTAGAAATTAATCGTGGTGTTGGCCAGCCGCCTGAAGCCTAAGCAGCGCTAGACGGAAATTTTTAAAACATTGCCTACAAGATAATCATACTCTTAAACCAATCCAATTTATTAGAAAATGTATACACACAAACACACATATATTAGAAGAAAAAGTAATTACTTTGGCCTAAGCTCCAAAAAGCTTGAAACTTACAAGGACATGGTTAACTTTAAAATTTCCAATCTATTTGTGTTGGAAAAGTTATCAATTTGGTGTATTTAAGTTAACTTTAAAATTTCCAATCTATTTCCGTGGAGACTTGCCATATGAATCTAGTTTGATGGCGGAGGCGAATGTGATACGAGCAGCGGGGTTGGCTGGTATTGATAAAGACTTTGCGGTTGTCCAGGTAGAGTCAGACTCCAAGTGTCTTGTAGATATGCTTAATGGGAATATGCAACATGATGTTGTGATTGAAGGCATCCTCTTTGATATTCAGTGTTTGAAACAACAATTGAGGTCAGTAAAATTTATCTTTGCTCCTCGAATTTGTAACAAGGTAGCACATCTAGTGGGCTTCGTTTGTTGCGCAAGAAGGGGGCTTTCATTGTGGTGATGGTCTTGAGCCACAATGGTGGTTTAATCCGTTGACTTCTGATGTAAACATTTTCATTCAAATTTAATAAAATTCTTACCCTTGAAAAAAAAAAAAAAAAAGTTAGCAAGATCTACTCTTTCGGATTACGTAACTTTCTTGGCAAATATATTATGCTCTTGTTTCTTTTCACTAGATGAAATAATAGTCAGAGTTTATAATCAGTTTGTTCTTTTTCTCCTTATTTGATTTTTTTTAACACTTTAGCCTTGCTATTACAAAGCAACCGCACCAACCTTACTTCATATTCAAGCTATGGTTTTATGGTGATTGGTAGACAAAGTCCTCCCAAATCCCCACGAAAGTATCTTTATATATGGTCCAACTTCCAAGCTTCGCTTCAATTGAAAGCAAGGGACATATGTACAAGAATTTCCAGTTTTCTGTTTTTGGTAAATTATCTTTATTGCTTTTGGAAAAACTAAAGTATCTTGTCCCACACACTATATAATAATAAATATAATAACCAGACTTATTTGTTAATTTGTCTTCGAACTTGTATTAAGTTGTTAATTTCTTTCCTAAATTTTAATTTTATGCGATTACCCCATTGATTTTTTATAAAAGCCAAACTCCCCCTGCCCCTCTCCCACCTGACGTTAGGTTTTGAAAATTTTCATCCAATTTTCAATCCATCTTGTCATGCGGACATCACATGTATCACGACAAAAAGAAAATATAATTAGGTAAATGTGGTGCAAAGCCAATACTTTGCAGTTGTTAATTGGACTTCCATGGTTAATTCAAACAAAAAGGAGCCAGAGACAACTCGCGGAAGAGACGAAGAAGAAAAATTAACAATCTGTTGTCCATATTTGGGATAAAATTACTTTACTACCCTCAAACATTTCCCTTGTGACCAAAATGGATAGAAAATTGGATGGAAAATCCTAAAATCTAACGTCATGGAGAAAACTGCCTAATTATAAAAG